AAAACTTCAGGAATATACATGTCTCCCTCCAAAAAAAGGGGTGGGGGAGACAACTGTGCTTTTAGACCAGTTATTTTAAAAATCCTGGGTTGCTATTTTTCTCATCAATGTTTTCTATTTGGAAATTAAAAAGACAAAATTTCTCTATTGAGCAAATTGGCACTATGCTTAAAAGCAAATCTCAAGTCAACAATCCTGTTTAGATTTAGAATGAGGTTACCAATCCTTTGAAATTAAAACATTAAGGAAAACTGTATTAAATTGTAATTCAATGCAAAAAAAAAACCAGCATAAAAATTTTATTTATATAAATGAAAACACACATAGACTCGGCTCATAAGCAATCTTAGCCCACACTGGCTTCTCTTCCTTCCGATTCCTTTTGCTTTTGTGCACACGTTACATAATTAAGTGTTTTATATGTTTACCAGACTATTTCCTAATTGTTTTTATGACACTATGCCATACCATAATGAATCAGTGTGTAAGACAGAATATTAAAATATTTTATATGTACACTTATGTACATGCATTTATGCAATCAAGACTTTATGCCTGTTTCTGCTCCTTCCTTAGGCAGAATATAAACTGTGGAGAGGGGCCATGTTTTATAATTAATGGCATTGCTGGTGCTTATTGTTGTACAAGACACAAAGACGGTAATGAAAAAAAGATTTCTTCTCCTTTCTTCATACGAGAAGAAACAGCAATGGCATTATATATCAATCCTACCCACCTGAAAGGGAAAGTGACCATCTTTGAAGATGTCCCTGCTAAGGAACAGTAAGACGTCCCCTCAGTGAGTGAGAAAAGACGGTTTTGAAGCCACATTTTTCTCTTTGTAATCAAGAGTTTAACAATGAGCACATGAGAAGCAGGAGCTCCCAAAAAGAACTCTTTTTTATCAATTTAACCATTATCTGCTCATTGACTTTTCAAGGTTATCACAAATCACATGAGTAACTGAAGATCAGAAGGAGGATGGGCACCTAAGCCTTTCCCATCTACTCCATCTAATCTTCACGCAGAACAACAGCCTGAATTTTTTAGAAGCTAGTGACTGTGAACTTAAATACAAGATGCTATGAGTTCCACAAATATGAGACAATTTTGCAACAGTCTAAAAACATGGACTTGATTAAAAGAACACACGCCCTGGTATACATTTTTGCCACATGCAAACTAAAATAAATCTTGTATCTTTCATACTAAGACAGAAGGAAATTTTTAAAGCTCAGTATTAAAATTTAATTGGTAACTCTGACCTTGAGTGCCACTTTAGGTGAAAAATATTACACCAGTTCTCAGATTTTCTTGAGATTTATGATCTCATGTTCTTGACAAAGGCCTTAGCACCTCCGTGTTCCTGAAATAATTGATCTGCCTCTTACAAGTGTTATTTTCCTGAAACCAACACCTGTCTCAGGAAGAAAAGTACAAACTTATGAAAATACCTTGCTATATTTAAAAAAACCAAAAGAAATTGCCAGGATTTGCATCTAACACGTTACTATATTTATAAAAGCAGTCAAGATCACAGATTGATAAATTTCTTGGCACACAACAGAAGACAAGAAAAAGCAAACTCAACCGCAAAGAGATTGTAAATATTATTTATAAAGGTTAGTTACAATTATTAATAAAGAGGGAATGTTTTAAATGGGCAAGTAAGTCACAATGCAAACTCACACCTCACATCTTTCTTGGCTTGAATGGAACTCCGCAATACACGCTTTCAACCTTGGGAGCTCATCTTTCTTTGCTTCTTTACTGCAATCACAAACACTGCTAACTTCCCCAAAACACCCTCAACCACCACTGTCGATTGTGTCTCTTCTTAAAGATAAGCAAAATGTCTTGGAAGCCATCAGATAAGCAAGGAATAAGGCAAGTCTGGAAACGACTGTGATAATGTAACTTCTAGCTTCAGCTGGAATTCAACATAAAATTCTAGGTCTCTTTTCAAAGAAATAACTGGCAAAAGTTATTGATTCTCCTGCACATGACAAAATGTCCAATATTAAATAACCTGCCCTACACAAAGTAATTACTATCAAAACTGCCATCTCTCAGCATTTACTACAGACTTGGCACTGTTATAAGTACTTCTCATGTATTAACTCATGTAATGCTCACAACCACTCTGTAAGGTAGGTGCTATTATTTGTCTCCCTTTACAAATGAGGAAACTACAGCACAGAGAGAAGCCAAGTGTCAAAGGTCCACAGCAAGGAAACAGCTAAGTTGGGTCCCCAGCCCAGGCAGTGTGGCTCAGAGCCAC